GGCCCTTATATGTAATTATTTTCAATTTGGGCCCTTATTTGTAATTATTTTCACTTTTCGGGCCCCTATATGTAAATCCCCCTAAAAATCTAGATGTACTGAAAATTTCTAATATTTGTCAATCATCATATAGAATCTTGTCAATTGATTAAACTTGCGGATATCTTGCAGTATAGTGACACTCTTTTGTAATCAGTTGGTTAATAATTTATTTTATTAAAAAAATCACCTGTATTGCAAAAAATCCAAACTTGCTGATTTATTCAAAAGAAACAGTAATAAATACTTAAGTTGTTTAAATGAGGAATATGCAGTAGAAATGTAAAAAGAAAGCTATAAACCAAAAATTTTTGAAAATATAATTTATCAAAAATTCATAAATATTGAATGCAACAATAGGCAATGAACTTTGGAATGAATGTTATATCTAAACTAGAAAGTTAATGGATATTTCTATATCATTCACAAGAAAAGCCAACAAATCAAGATTGTTTCATTTATTCAATGATGCAACTGTCATAGTGAGTTAGAAAGAAAACAAAAACACAATATCAAATGTAATTAGATTACTATGACCAAAAACGAAAAATTCGTTTTGCAATAGCTTATTAATATTCATATCAGTATTGTTTTTATATTCACTTGTTCCTGCTACAGTCTTCTCACAACAAAAGAAATTTTTAAAAATATTGAAGCTTAAAGATATTGAATCATTTTATACTAGTCTGGCAAATGGGTTTTTAAGGCTATTACTTAAATTTGATACAACAATTCTTGTCGTAGATTATCATGAAATCAGATTATTGTGAAATCTACGTGATCTTTATTTTATCAGTTTTTCTAAAATTTCCAAAAATCGTGTAAACAATCGATCTAATCAATCTACACTTCCAGAGAAGACTGTCCCAAATTAGGGAGACATCTAAAGCGGAGCAGTTTCTTATAATATATATTTTTTTTGAATTAACTTTAGGGTTAGGGTCATCTTATATTGGGGTTAGATTAGGTTTTAAGTAGTTATATATAAGCAAAATTGCTTTTCTAACATTTTTAATTAACCTACCCAAGGTAGGTTTAGACTGCCATTTTTTGTATTTTTCAGGTTTTTTGTTTTTTGCTTTGCTGGCGAT